TCTTTTTTTTTTTTTTTTTTTTTTTTTCAGGTACTGGTGGTTTAACCCTGCCCATGGAGGATATAGTTGAATGTCCAGTTGACGTAGCTCAGTGGTTAGAGCACCGGTTGGAAATGCGCATTGTGGTATGAGGTTGCGGGTTCAAATCTGCAGCCGTGCACATGGACACCGGCAGGGCGTTAGAATGATGCACGGCTGGACACACACCCCTTGGGATGACGCAGGTTAGCTATTACAGACACTGCCTGCGCACCACCCAAGGGTTGTTCATGGTGTTGCATGTTGGTTCTGGGTTTCACATGGTTTGCTTGGGGATGTTGATCTTGGGTGTTCGGTTGATCTCCCCAGTCTGGCACATCACACGTTCATGCCATTGCCGCTAGTCGTTCACATGGTAGAGTCATTCGATTACACGTTACAAGGTCAAGCTTGGTTCGGACCTTGGGGGGGTCCTTGTCCAGCTTACCCCTCTTCGATGTACACACATGATGCTGCCTATACATCTTGATACATTGATTCACAGAGCACACACAGCCTTCGGCCATATATACACAGCTTGCGAATTATACATGGCATACGGGCTACATACACAAGTTTCCACATATGGTGCTGTCTGCACATCTTGATACACAGGGACACGAAGCATACATTCTTCGGATACACACATAGATTACATACTACACAACTATCAGACTGGGGGGGTCTAGTCACTGGTGGGGTCTAGTATCTGCAGTAGGGACAGGTATGGGCCACCAGAGTTCCTACTGAGATTCGAATAGAACTGTCTAGTGACTATATATAAGGCTTAGACCCTGGGGTAAAGGGAGGGGTATAAGTCGCTCAGGCCAGTCCGAGTTCTGCCTGGCCTTGGGTAAGCTAGGGGAAGGACGGTAAGACTGCTTCAATGGGTGCTACCCTGTCTGAAACCTAGGGCCCAGAGTCTCTTGGGGCCTGTAGTAGATTGTCTGGGCCTGGCGTCCGAAGTTCCCATTCGACAAGGTTCGTCCGATTCCGCTTCCACCAGAGTTGGGCAACCTACAGCCCTGGTGCCTATCACTGCTGTTCGGTCCAAGTTACCTGCCCATTGGTAGGGGGTGCAAACCATAAGGCGGGTGGTTTGCACTGTTCACCTCCTGACAGGTGGGACACTCTGCGACGTAGTCCTTTACAAAGTCCTTGCACTTCGGACAAACGTACAGGCGGCTCACACGAGCCAACGTCTTGTAGAAGCCCATATGACCGGCGGCTGCCTGATCATGGAACTCTGCTACTGCCCGGACACGTAGCTGTCCAGTGGAGGGAACGCAAATGCGGGGCTCTCTAGTGCCCTGTGAACCGTGCCAGTACACAAGACTGTTGTCCCTGAGAGAGTAGTTTGTGACGGTCAGGCCACTCCGAAGGGTCGCATGGATGTCGTGATAGTCGGGGCAGTGGCGGTACTGAGTGCAAAACTCGTCGGTCACCGAGTGGTGGACGGTGGTGACCGAGATGGCAGCAAACTGGATCTGCTCTAGATCATGGTCAGGGCGCCAGGATAAGGCATCTACAACCCGATTGGTCTCACCCTTGATATGCTCACTGGTGAAACTAAACTCGAATCGGTCGCACCACCAGCGAGCCTATCGAGGAGTGAGCTTCGACTTTGTCACAAAAGCTTGGACAACAGAGTTGTCCATGCGCACCGTGAATGGTACCCCGTGCAGGTAGTGACGCTAGTGCCGAGTGACATAAACTACTGCGAGAAGCTCACGTTCATCAGCAGTGTAGTTTATCTCGGCGGGCAGAAGCTGGCGGGAGTAGAAGGCTATCGAACAATCACTTGAGCAAGACTCGATAGTGCCGTCCTCGGCGATGGTAGGAGAATAGTCAATAGAAGGCTCGTCGATATCTGGACGAGTAGGCGTCAGGCGGAAAGCAGTGGTAGGTGTAGGAGGTGGGAAGTGAGGGATGCGAGGATGAGAGGAATCAGGAGAGGAGGGGAAAATATGAGAAAGCACTGCTCCTACAGCGAAGCCTGACGCATCAGTGGTAAGGATAAAAGGGCGATCAAAATCGGGTAGGTGGAGAACCGATGCACATGTCACCGCCTTCTTGAGGGCGAGGAAGGCGTCCTCGTAGAGGGGTGTCCAAGCCCATAACTGGTTCTTCCGAAGGAGGGTAGAGGTAAGGACATGTGAATAGGAGCCGTTAAGCTCGGAAGAACTTACTGTTATAACTCGTAAGTCCAAGAAAACTACGAAGTTGTTTGACGGACTTGGGGTTAGGCCAGTCCGCGATAGCAGTGATCTTCGAGTCATCCATGTGGAAACCCTGGTCAAACACGTAGTGTCCTAAGAAATTCACTTTGCGTTGGGCAAAGCAGCACTTGCTCAACTTGGCGTAGAAGCCATGTTTGCGCAAGCGGTCAAGCACGTCGTGGAGGTGTCTGAGATGTTCCTCAAGGGTACGACTGTAGATCAGAATGTCGTCGAGGTAGACGAGAACATACTACTCCAGAATGTCCCTGAAGATCTCGTTCATCGTCGTCTGGAAGGTAGCGGGTGCGTTGGTGAGGCCAAATGGCATCACCGTAAACTCATAGTGGCCGAAGTGGGATCGAAACGCTGTCTTCGGTTGGTCCGCTGCAGCGACGCGGATCTGATGGTAACCGCCACCGTGACGAAGATCAATCTTCGTAAAGAAGCGGTTGCCTGTTAGGCGGTCGAACAGCTCGTTGGAACGAGGCATGGGGTAGTTATTCTTAACCGTGTAGTCTTTGAGACCACGAAAATCGATGTAGAGACGAAGAGTTTCATCCGCGTTGTGAGCAAAGAGGACGGGTGCACCCCACGGGGAGTTGCTGGGTTTAATGAAACCCTGTCTCAGGAGTTCCTCAAGCTGACGCTTGAGTTCGGTGGCCTCAGGGATCAAGAGTCTGTAGGGTGTCTGGTGGTGAACACGATAGTCAGGTACAAGCTGGATGGAATGCTCGACGTCGTGCATCGGTAGGATGCAGACGTACAAGAACGACGATGGCAAAACATCGTGGTACTCTCGAATGAGGTCACGAACGGCGGGCTCCAGGTCAACCGTATAGCGTGCGAGTTCCTCAGCGTCAGCATCGACGCGTGACGACGGGGTGGAATTGACGGACGAAGGAGGGAGGGAGGTAGAGATGGGAGCCATGGAGATAGAAGGAGGATTTGGCTCCAGAGAGATGAGCTCGGTGTCGGGACAGGGTGGACCATAGTGCAAGAGATCCGTAACGTTCACCGTAAAGAAGGTGACGTCATCCTGTCGAATGAAGTGAGCAAACTGCCGAGGCGAGGTGACGGTGATAGTAGGCGATGGTGTGGGCACGGAACGCTCCGGATCGGGGCGTGGTGTCGCAATGGTACCTATAAAAGGTACGCGATACGTCTGTCCACACTTCGTTCTGAAAATGAGAGTGTCAGTCGCCCAATCGGCCTCGGTGCTTCGGAACCTATGAGACCACGGAGTACCGAGAATGAAGTCGTACCCCGTCTCCATTACATCGAAATGCGCAGAGGAGCGGTGGCAACGAGACACCGAGGGACGATCAGTCGACTCCAGAGTGAGGAAGAAAGGGAGGTCGGTGACCGTCTGATCGAAGAAGCGTTGGGTCTTGTCATCTCCTAGGGTAACGGAGATGGGAGTCGGAGACCCAGTCGTGGGTAAGTGTGCTTCCTTCACCACACGTGAGTGAATGAAATCGCCCTGAGAACCGAAATCCCACAGCGCTGAGTACACCCTCGTGGAGGTCCTCAGTCGTATTGGAATGATCGGGAGGGACAAAGCCCTGAGGGATGTTCTGCTAAGGGACCTCAGGGGGCGATGCGTCAGCGTGACCGGAGCGGCTGCGTGCCCGAGAAAGGGTGGAGAGGGCGTGCTAGAGGCGCTCGGCTATAGGGAGGGTAGAGTCCTCCAGGTGACAGTGGACAGCCTCGCAGAGATCGAGGTTGTTGCTATGGTCACCCTAAGGCGACAGCGGGGCAACAACGTTCTACTCACCATACTCGAGCGCGCTTAAGCGGCGCCAAAAGTGGCGGCCCTGCTATGCGGGACGGCGGGGACGACCATGGAAAGGGGAGCGGCGCTGGAAAGCGTCGTGAGAGAAGGAGGGAGCTTAACCAGTACGTTGGGGCTGGGAGGAGGAAGCGGGGTGAAGACAGGCCCTCATCCGTTGATGGGCCCTCGCAACCTCACAGGTCTGCGGGGCCGAGGTAAAGTCATACCGCCATAACTTGGAGCGGTACTCAAGGGGAAGGTTGGCCAAGAAGCGATCGACGAGGGCAGCCTCGGGGAGGAACACCACATTGTAAATGAGGTAGCCGTCCTGAAAGACCTGGATGTGGCGGTCTAGGCCGGCAGCGCCACCAGAGCCGGACCAACGTGTACTAACGACACGCTCGAAGGCGTCGGTCACGTTGTGTCGGGCTCCGAAGCGATCCTCGAGGAACGCCTGGAAATCCACAAAGGTCGGGGTTCGGCCCTCACGAAGGGAGTGAGGGTAGAAATCCTCCCAGGCGTCGAAAAGATCGCCACGAAGGCGCGTGGAGAGGTGAGTCACCCACTGGTCAGGTGGGACGACCACGAGCTGGAGCATGCGGATGGCAGAGTGCAGCCACCGAGACACGAGTATCCCTGTATCATCGTACAAGGCAATGTTCGTCAAGCGGACGAGTGGTGCGCCACCGTTTTGGCGGCAAGGAAATCGGGGAGCAGAGGCCTGCGCTACGACCGAGTAAGTCGGCGCAGATCCAGGAGAAGGGGGCGCAACTGACTATACGCTCAGGCGCATGGTGGAGCGATGGGGGGAACAAAGGTAGGCTGTGCGGGAGCTGCGGTAAAAGAGGTCGTAGAAACTAATGGAGTAGGAAGGAGATAGGATGGGGGCGGAGGGGTTGCAGGGCGAGGGAAGTGAGCCTGCATGGATGGAAGAGTAGAGGAAGAAGTGGGTGCGTCCGAAGGTGCGGCCACCTCTGAGGGTAGGGGTGGTTGAAGGCATAAGAGGGGGAGGTCGGTCCGGGTCTAGGCAAGCTCGGCCTCAAAACGTCGAACGTAGATCGAGCGAGGAGTGGTAGGAGGAGTGGGGGAAGTAGACTCACGAGCGGCGCGAGGCATCCCACAAGGGGGAGAGCCAAGTGGCACTGCGGTCGTGTGAAGGGGAGGGAGAAGCGGGGCACCCAAAAAAGTTAGGACCGCGATAGAGGGTTGTGGTCCCGTGCCCGTAGTGACCGGAGTCTGGGCGGGTGCGCCCGTAGAGTGAGGAAAAGTCTGGCCCGTGGCGGCCGTCTCGCTAGGGGCGCGGACGGTCACTAGGATGGTCGGGTCGGGGGCAGCGGAGGAGGAAGCTCCGTCGTGGCCACCACGTCGGAGGATTGGGGATCCCGACTGGGAGCCAGGAGAAGAGAGAGAGTTGGGGGAGGAAGGATAGGCAGCGTCCTGGAGTTGCCGCATGCCCGCGACAAGAGTCACCACCTGCGCCTGTAAGGGCGCAAGGATCGCCTATTGCGCTTGGATGGGCGCGAGGAGGGAGGTGAGAAGGGTGTGCAGATCTCCCTGGGGCTGATGGCCCTGGTCCGCCGGCATGGGTGTGGAGCCCAGTGTCGAGGTCGTCACTGCGTCAGCGACTTGTGACACGCTGTCGGTCATGGGGAGGTAATGGCCCGGACTGGAGAGGGCCAAAGGAGATCCACGTAAGCAGAGAGCGTATGGGGGGGTCTGCAGTAGAAAGCGATGGGCGGCGCTAGCGAGTCTAGCACGGACACCGTCAAAGGGGCAGGGGTGGTTCGGGTCCAGGGTACCCGAATGGGAAGGGGAAGCAGGAAAAAGGGGTGATGGGAAAGTAAGGGGGTTAGGAGAACCCTAAACCCTAAAAAAAAACTAAGAAAACCCTAACCGGAGTTTGAGCGGTTAGGGTAGGGTATCGGTGACCTAATTAAGGAAGAAAATAACAACTATGGAAAGGAGGGGGAGAGAAAAATAAATAAACTGTGAAATTTTGAGAGAAAATTTTAAAGAAATAATAATAATAAAAATAATTAAAGAAATAAGTAAACAAAATGTGAAGAGATAATAATATTTAATTTTTTGGAATTTTCAGCAGCATTTCCCTACCCCCCCATGGGATAAAAAATGTGCCAAGAGGAAGGGGAGACCAAGAGAAGCACACTAATTTTCACAATGCCGCAAATGATAAGTTTCAGAAAAATAATAAGTAAAGAAATAATCAAAATAATAATAATAATAAATAAATGGGAAGGTGAAGAGTGAAGAAAAACTAAGTGTCGGATTTTTTAAAAATTTTGGCAGCATTTCGTTACCCCCATGGGGTCGAAGTGTGTCGGCAAAATATATGACTAAGTAAGATGGGAGGGAAGTAGGGAGAAAAGAGAATTTTTTGGCAGCACTTCGTTACCCCCACGGGGTCAAAATGTGCGCCGAGAGCGTAAATAACTAAGTTCTAAACAGATCTAGAGGTGCCGCAGAAAACATTTGAAATTTTCAGAATACATAAATCAGAAAAATGAGAAAAGAAGTAGAGGATAAGCGAATTCGAATTTTTGAAGAAAAGAGGGAATTTAAATCAAAAGAAAGACAAAAGAAGAAAAAACAGAAAAAAATCGAAGTTGGGGAGGAGGCGGATGAAAAAGTGAAGAAGGAAGAGAGAAATAGGCGAGAAAGAGAAAACATTGAAGTGGGAGATGGAGGGATGATGGGGTTGTAGTTGGGGGATGGAAGGGGGGGAGGAGGGTAAGACAATGGGAGAGAAAGGGATGAGAAAGGTGGAGAGGAGTAGAAAAGATTAGTAGAAGATGGTGAGTGGGGAGGGGAGGAGAGGAAAAGATAGTGGAAGATGAGTGAAGAGAGAGGTTAGAGGAGAGAGTAGTGGTAGAGGGAGAAAAAGTGATCAAATGGTGGAGGGGGGAGAGAGAGGGGGGGGTTGTGGGAGAGTAGGCTAGCGGGGAGTGATGATACTCGGCTCTTGGTTGGCCAAGAGCAACAAGATTACCAAGATCCACTGGATCTTGGCCTTCAAGATGCTGGCAGTCTGCTACTGCAACGGAAAAAATAATAGTGAAGTGATCAAGGGTTGGTCCAGATCATGATCAGCCACCCTAATTGCACTAACGCGCAGCTCCCTAGCTAGGGGGGTCTTCCCTGCTGGCAAACTGCTGGTGCTGCAGTACAAAAAAAATAGCCATCATCATCATCATCAACATCATCAGGATGTGCTGAGATCTTGATCAGCCATCCAGATTAGCCTGTACTGCAGCCCCCTAGCCAGGACGGTCTTCAGCTCCTCAGCAAGCTGCCACGTGGCACTGCAGATGTCCACGTGCGCAGGCAGCAGCAGCCACATTGCCTCCGTCACCAGCGGGGGGGGGAGAGGGGGGAGCGTAAATAGCAGCCGGCCCGCTGCTGCCCTGCTGGCCGCTGCTCGCCGCTCCCCGACAGGGGGGGGGGGGGGGAAATAGTTGGCACATTACTCTTCAACAGCAGCGTGCCACATTACCAAGCCATAGACATACTTTGGCTAGTGTGTTATGGCACCAGTTATGCACGCGCATGGCCAGCAGCTGCCCAGGTTCAAACCTCGGCAGCAGCATAACTAATCCCGGAGTGGGGTGGGGCGGGGCAGCGTGGGCACGTGGCGCGTGCGTGAGCGTGTATGGCGGCCTTGGCCTTGGCGCACGAGCGCTCCCGATAGTCTCTTTTTTTGCGCCACCTGTCGCTTCCTTGCTGCTGCACTTCTCTCCGCTGATTCCCGCTGTTTTCATCGGAACACAACCAAAAAACACGTGAAAATCCGTTGTTGGGTTTTACACCATATACCGAGTTGTGCTGGGTGCGAGCGGGGAACGTTCTGACTCTAATGCCAGTGTGGCGGACCCATCGGGTGAGGTGCTCCGCCTGGGATACAGATGGAGATAGAGGATGAGGGTGGAGCAAGATGACACAGCGCAACTCTTACACAAGACTCCAACACACGTACTCCAAACTGTGCGAATGTAGAACGATCAAGTACAGACTCTGGTAGGTGTATACCCCAACAGACTAACTAGACTGGACTGGATTGGTTGGTACCGACAAAGGTACCGGCCTGGACTGGACTACCCTGAATACAACACAGGCATGTGAGGACAGGCCAAGGGGCTAGTCTCATAGGCCAACCAGAGGTCCGCTACATCGGCCTCCTATGGGCCGCCTACTTGGAAGCATTGTCTCTGGCTAATGCCCTCCTCCCGTGTACTTATCTCCCTCCTTTTAGCAGTTGATGTCGAACCACTCAAGAGTGGATGTGGAGGGAGCATATCCGGAAAGTCTTTTGGCGCTCACAATGGGACCGAGGTGTCTATCTTTGTCCATGTTTTTGTAGATCACTAAGAGTGTGCACAGATCCGGCTCAAGTACAGGTCTACAAATCTTTCTTCTTGTCTCATTGGGCATCATAAATAGTCTCAAATAGTCCTTTGGGGCATCGAACTTGACTGCTAAGTGGTGAAAATGCTCTTTCAACTTTTCTTTTCTCTTTTTTCCTACAACAAATTTTCGAAGGGGGGGGGGGATGAAGGTGATCACGAATCCAAGCCTACGAATCCTTTTTTTATTTCCTGGGTGGCTATTTT